TCTCATTGACTGAGTCATTCAGGTGTGACAGTACTGTCTCATTGATAAAGAGACAATGATAGAGAAATCTGAAGAGTTTTATTGAAAGAATCTTGAGAAAAAGATTGAGTTAATATACTGTGTAGCAGATGACTGAGACTTGAGAATAGATGAAAAAGTCATCACTCTTACTACAAGATTAGCAGCAGTATCTGTCATTGAAGACAGATATATACAATATCTCTTTACAGATTTTAAGAATGTCTTTTTAAAAAGAGAAGCAGTGAAGTTTCCTGACACTAAGATATAATATAAGATTCATCTTGAAGACAGTGTAACAGTGCTGTACAGACCTCTTTATAACTTGTCTGTAAAGAAATTGAATGTTCTGTATAAATATCTTAAAGAAGTGCAATCAAAGAACTGAATACACTTATTAAAGAGTCTGACAGAGATGTCTATACTCTTTATGTTTAAGAAGAATAATAGACTATGTCTATGTATAGACTACAGAGGTCTTAATAAGATGATAGTTAAGAATCACTATTCATTACTGTTGATTAATGAGATGATTAATTAATTATCTGAAGCAAAGATGTTCTCAAAGATTGATATACAGAATGTCTATCATAGAATCAGAATTAATAAAGATAATGTTTGAAAAATGACTTTTTATATCAAGTATGATAATTTTGAATATCTTGTTTTATCTTTTGATCTTTATAATGCTTCAGCCATCTTTCAGATCTATATAAATAAGACACTGCAGGGCCTTGTCAATGTCTTCTATATAGTATACTTGAATGACATTCTAATCTTCTCAAAAACAGAGAAAGAACATGATACTCATGTTTAAGAAGTATTAAGTCACTTGAGACAGTATTAACTCTATATAAACACTGAAAAATGCTTATTCTACATGCAGGAGATTGATTTCTTAGATTATATTATTAAAATGAATGACATTTCAATGAACAGAAGCCAGGTCTTCATCATTGAGAACTAGCCAGTTCTGCAGATATACTGTGAGATGCAGATGTTTCTAGAATTTGCAAATTTCTACAGATGATTCATCTATACATATTTATAAATTACTATCTCTCTTACAGATTTGTTAAAGAGAAGTGTGAAAGACAGAAAAACAGAACTGTTTATTCTCACTCAAGATACTGTGCAGATATTTATAAAATTGAAACAAGCTTTTACAGATGTCACAATGCTGAATCACTTTAATTCTGACTTACTCAGTCAGTGTGAGACTGATACATCTGAGAATAAGATCTGTGAAATCTTTTCACATTTAATATCAGAGATCTTTCAATGTTGAAAGAAACAGAGAATAATCATCTCTGAAGAAATAGATAATGAATTATCTGTAAGAGAAGACTTTTTCACAGAGTCTATAAGATACTGTGAATAAAGATCAGTAACCTTCTTCTTCAAGAAGTTATTACTCATGCAGAGAAGATATGATACTTATAATTAGAAGATATTAGTAATTATCAAATTCTTTAAGATCTGATAATATTATCTTCAGAATAGTAAGTACTCAGTGCAAGTTCTCACTGATTATGCAAATCTGTGTTACTTCTTAATAACAAAGAGCTTGACAGAATGTCAAGTCAGATAAGTGAAGCTGCTTTCAGAGTATAATTTCTATATCTGATACTGTTCAGATCAGCTTAATCTCATCAATACACTGTCTAGACAGTCTGATTATAATATTATTAATATAGAGAAGAATTTTATAAAAGAATCTCTATCATCACTGCAGAAGAAGCTAGCTGCAGAGAGTTAAGATTCTCTAAAGCTTAGAAACAGTGCTGAAAAAACAGCTGCATAACTCAGTATAGAAGATGAAAGAAAACTCAGATCTCTGCAGAGAACTGACACTGAAGATTATAAGCTTCTTATATTATATCTTATAATTATTGAATTAATAAAGAATGAAATGATCTACAATCTTTCAATCTAACTACTTTTAAAATTTATTAATAAATTATAGAAGAGAAATATCTCTACTACAGCTTGAATTCAGAAGTTGAAGAAGAAAGAATTCAGTTTAAACTTAAAAGAGACAGACTCTGAGTGAGATAATATTACTAAGAAATCAAGTTATTGATAACTAGAAGAATATGAACTTCTACTGCAGAATAGTTCAGTCTTTGTCTCTTGTAGTAGAGCAGTATGTTAGAAGTTATTAAGAATTCATTATAATACTCTTCATACAGAGCACTTCAGATTAGAGAAGACTGAGAAGCTTCTAAAATATAAATATATTTAAGACAAGCTCTGAGCAGATGTTAAAGAGTATATTAAGACTTATAATATCTATTAAAGAATACAGATTCTATAGTATAAGTAATACAGTGAGTTGATATCACTGTCTGTTTCAAAGAGTCTATGATAGAATTTATCAATGAATTTCATAGTTGATCTGCTGAAGTTAATAAGAGTTAAAGAATATGACTTAATTTTAGTCATTATTAACTATTTTATAAAGATAATCAGATATATTTTTACTTATATAAAGATTAAAGCCTCTGAATTAACTGACCTATTTTTAGATATGATTATTCATGATCATAGTGCTCTGAAATCATTGATAATAGATTGAGAATTCCTCTTCATCAGTAAATACTGATCAGCTTTTTACTATCATCTTATAATAAGATATCTTCTCAGTACTGCATTTCATCTGCAGACAGATGATCAGACTGAATATCAGAATCAGATACTAGAATAGCATCTTTAAGTGTTCTATTTATATTATTAAAATAATTAACTCAAACATCTTTTAATCACTGAATTTGTATATAATAATACAAAGAATACAATCTTAAAGATATCTTCTTTCTATACTTATTATAAATATAATTCTTCATTACTCAGTGACATCACAGATGACATTTTAAAGAGAGAAATAGACAGTTAGAATATCAGACAGATACAGAGAATGAAGTATTTCTCAGTATTAAAAGTAAAAGTGAGATTAAAACTTTTGAATAAAATTCATGAGAAAGTAATGAAAAGTATTCACTATGCTCAGAAGCAGTAGATAAAATACTATAATTAAAAACATCTTTTAATGAAGTTCTTGATAGAGAATTAAGTACTACTTTTAATAAAGAATATCAAGATAATGAGACTGTGTAAGAAGCTCAGTGAGTGATGACTAGAATCTTTCTCAGTAATAAGAGTGATAAGTAAGCAGATATATAAGTTAAAATTACTCATAGAATTGAAATTAATTTATTCTGTTTTTCATATTTCTATTTAAAGCTCTATAAGTAATATTTTAAGATGAAGCTGTCTCAGCTAAATAATATTAAGATTGAGAGTGATACTTTATATCTTATGAAGAAAATATTAAATAAGTGAATATATTACAGTAAGCTTCAATATCTTATTAAATAAGAAGATTATTTATTATCAGAGAATTTATAAGAACTGCTTGAATATTTGAAAAATACTGAGAAAGAGATTATAAGCTATAAGATGACTAGTAGAGACTACTCTATTATATATCAGAGACATTGAGTAAGAAATACTGCTTAAGATTTCTTATTTTTCTTAAAGAGTTTTTTAGAGATAATCTTACAGTAATAAGCTAATATCTTATAGACTCTGTAACACTCTTCTTCTATTTTCTCTTAAAGAATTTTTTAGAAGTTTAATAAGACTATACAAGTGTAAAATTCCTGAAGTGATTAAAGAAAAGAAATATTAAAAATTAATAAAAAGATTAATATTATTGATCTGCAGACTGCTACTATTCTAATAGAGCTACAGCTCACTGAAAAAGTAAAAAGAGAGATCAGAGTCTACTTATTAATAATTACATTCTTATTAAACTTATTCTTCACTGTTAGAGTCTTCAGTACTGATATCTTTATCTGCTGAGAAGTTAGTACTGCAGCACTGCAGAAGAGCAGAAGAAATATATAAAATATTAATTTATCAACTTATAAAGTATCTCAGTCATCTGCTTTAATTAAAGTGAGATTCTCTTTAATCAGTGATTGATCTTCACAGTGCTTTCAATAATAGTACTGACTAATCTCTTCTTGAGATCAGTTATTCTGAGATATTTTTTTATCTCAGAGATTCAGCTCACTGAAAAAGTAAAAAGAGAGATCAGAGTCTACTTATTAATAATTACATTCTTATTAAACTTATTCTTCACTGTTAAAGTCTTCAGTACTGATATCTTTATCTGCTGAGAAGTTAGTACTGCAGCACTGCAGAAGAGCAGAAGAAATATATAAAATATTAATTTATCAACTTATAAAGTATCTCAGTCATCTGCTTTAATTAAAGTGAGATTCTCTTTAATCAGTGATTGATCTTCACAGTGCTTTCAATAATAGTACTGACTAATCTCTTCTTGAGATCAGTTATTCTGAGATATTTTTTTATCTCAGAGATTCATACTTTCATCTTCTTTTATAAATGAGTAAGAGAGATCTTCTCAGTCTTGACAGAATCTATTAATATTTAAAGCTCTGAGACTCTTGCTCTGTACTGCTTAAGTATCTAGACTTCTTATCAGAGCTGACACAATGTCTTTCTATGAGATAATACTTACAGAGAGATAGAAGTTATTGTTACAGATATAATAGAAATAATAAGAGTGAGAGAAGAGATAGATATATAAAATCTTCTTCTTCTTCAGCTGCTTAGTGCAGTGCAGATAAGTAGTAATATCAGTCAAAGACTGTATCAGAGTCTTTTCATAGAGAGAAGATAAAGAAACTGCAGAATTCTGCAGACTCAACTCAGCAGCAGTCTGAGCAGAGCTCAGATATGCTGTAAGAGAGAAACTACAGATTAAGCTTCTCAGAGTCACTGTCTCTGAAATCAAGCTCTCTCTGAGTTTCTCTCTGAATAATCACATGGAGTCATACATCACTGTATTGGCTGGGGAGAGGGGCAGTGTCGCAACAGTGATGAGGGGGGCAGAGAATGAACCAGACACAGACACATCAGCTGACAGAAGGAACAACATCTCACTGCAAGGCATGGCAACTACCACTGCAGCTGCAAGAGGAGCAGGAGAAGATGTGACAATGAGAGCAGTGCTCCCGCAGCTCATTGATGCTGCTGCCTTCAATCTGGCTTTCTTGACAGTCACAGAGGCCGCAGCTGCACCACAAAGACATTTATTCACTAGAAAACATCAGAATAAGCCTCTTATTATCTCTCAAGAATGATACTCTCATGCACTCACTATTACAGATAAGAGAAGGGGAGAAAAATGTGTTATAAGAGAGAAGAATCTTTTTGAAAAATTCTGTCACTACTGTTAGCTTTGTCTCTAAAACACATTACTTTTATAGAGAATTTCATATATAGAACAGAATATAATGAGAGATCTGTAAGTCATTTATTAACTATGTTTTTCACATCTTAAATCAATATATAAGAAATTCACTTATCATATACTTGATTTAAATGAAGATGAGAAAGAGAAGATCTACACAGTTAGTAGAAAAACTCATCTATTTCTTTGTATCATATACAGTATATACACTGTCAATCAGTTGATAACTATTGTTATATAATAAAGATAATTCCTAATTCAGTAATCTTAAGAGTGTAGAGACTATGCTCTTAAAGAGAAGAGTATTATCACACTTCTAATTATATCAAGATCTTACTACAGTTTTACACAGCTTATCACTTTCATACAGATAATTTCATTCATCTCACAGATTATCTGAACTGATTTTCAATCACTCTATAACATCATTCAGATATATTATAGAAAGATTTAATTAATAAATATAAGAACTCTGCTTCTATACAAGATCAGCAGATTACTCTTTCTTCATAATAAGATACTGCTGAGGTATCACTCTAGCTATTCTTGCTTATGAAATAAGAGAAGAGTATCTGTCTATTATCTATATAAAATAGCTAGATACTGGCTTCTCATGAAAGAAGTCAGTGATTTGTTTTTCTTCTACTGAAATATATATAAGAGTTACTGCATGTCTTATACAATCTTCTTAGTATACTAAGTATCACATCTGTGATATTCTCACAATAACTCTGTAGCCTATGAGCTTGTCATTCAAGCAAGATAGTCAAGCTTACTTATATAACTTCTCAAACAACTACCTCTACATGATGCCGCTGACTAGCCACCGCTTCGGTTCCGCTATGTTACAATTATCTAATTAAAACAGCTCTACTTCAGAGTGTTGCTTATAGAGCTTTAAATAGAAGATGTGAAAAACAGGATGAATTGATTTCAATTCTGAGATTAATTTCAACTCATATGTCTGTTGATTCATCACTTTTATTACTGAGAAGAGTTCTAGTCACTACTAACTGAGCTTCTTACACAGTCTCATTATCTTAATATTCTTTACTGATAGTAGCACTTGATTCTCTATTAAGAACTTCATTGAAAGATGTTTTTAATTATAGTATTCTGTCTGCTACTTCTAAGTATAATGAATGCTTTTCACTATCTTCTCATGAATTTTATTCAAAAGTTTCAATCTTGCTTTTACTTCTGATACTGAGAAATACTCTATTCTCTGTATCTGTTTGACATTCTAACTGTCTATTCTTCTCTTTTTAAAATGTTATCTGTGATATCACTGAGTAATAAAGAATTATATTCATAATAAGCATAGAAAGAAGATACTTTTAAGATTACATTCTTTACATTATTATATATAAATTCAGTGATTAGAAGATGTTTGAGTTAATCATTCTGATAATATAAATAGAACACTTAAAGATGCTGTTCTAATATCTGATTCTGATATTCAGTCTGGCCATCTGTCTGCAGATGAAATGTGATACTGAGAAGACATCTTATTATAAGATGATAGTAAAAAGCTGATTAATATTTACTAATGAAGAGGAATTCTCAATCTGTTATTAATAATTTCAGAGCACTGTGATTATGAATAATAATATCTAAAAACAGATCAGTTAATTCAGAGACTTTAATCTTTTTATAAGTAGAGATATATTTAATCATCTTCATAAAGTAATTAATAATAATTAAAATTAAGTCATATTCTTTAACTCTTATTGACTTTGACAGATCAACTATAAAATTCATCAATAGATTCTGTCATCAGCTCTTTGAAATAGGCAGTAATACTAACTTACTGTATTACTTATACTATGAGATCTTTATTCTTTAATAGATATTATAAGTCTTAATATACTCTTTAATATCTGTTCAGAGCTTGTCTCAAATATATTTATATTTTAGAAGCTTCTTAGTCTTCTCTAATCTGAAGTGTTCTGTATAAGAATTATTATAATGAATTCTCAATAACTTCTGACACATCATTCTACTATAAGAGACAAAGACTGAATCATTCAGCAGTAGAAGTTCATATTCTTCTAGTTATCAGTGACTTGATTTTTTAGCAGTATCACTCTACTCAGAGCCTGTCTCTTTCAAGTTTAAACTGAATTCTTTCTTCTTCAACTTCTGAATTCAAGCTGCAGTAGAGATGTTTCTCTTCTGTAACTTATTAATAAATTTTAAAAGTAGTCAGATTGAAAGATTGTAGATCATTTCATTCTTTATCAATTCAATAATAGTAAGATATAATATAAGAAGCTTATAATCTTCAGTGTCAGTTCTCTGCAGAGACTCAGGTTTTCTTTCATCTTCTATACTAAGTCACACAGCTGTCTTACTAATGCTGTTTCTAAGCTTCAGAGAATCTTAATCCTCTGCAGCCAGCTTCTTCTACAGTGATGATAGAGATTCTTTTATAGAATTCTTCTCTGTATTAACAATATTATAATTTGATTATTTAGACAGTGTGTCAGCAGAGTTAAGTCAATCTGAATAATATTAAATATAGAAATCATACTCTGAAAGCAGCTCTGCTCATCTGACTTGACATTCTATCAAGCTCTTTATTATCAAGAAGTAACACAGATTTGTATGATCAGTGAGAACTTACACTGAGTACTTACTACTCTGAAGATAATATCATCAGATCTTAAAGAATTTCACAATTATTAATATCTCTTGATCATAAGTATCATATCTTCCCTGTATAAGTAATAACTTCTTGAAGAAGAAGATTACTAATCTTCATTTATAGTATTATATAGACTCTGTGAAAAAGTCTTCTCTCACAGATATTTTATTATCTATATTTTCAGAGATTATTATTCTCTGATTCTTTCAATGTTAAAAGGTCTCTGATATTAACTGTGAAAAGATTTCACAGATTCTATTCTTGAATATATTAGTCTCACACTGACTGAGTAAGTCAGAGTTAAAGTGATTCAGTATTATAAGATCTATAAAAGCTTATTTTAATTTTGTAAATACCTGTGTAGTATCTTGAGTAAGAATAAACAGTTCTATTTTTCTGTCTTTAATACTTTTCTTTAACAGATCTGTAAGAAGACCAGTAATCTGTGAATATATATAGATAAATTATCTATAGAAATTTATAAATTCTGAAAATATCTATATCTTATAATATGTTCACAGTACTGATCAGTTCTTAATAACAGAGATCTGACTTCTGTTCATTAAAATGTTATTAATCATAATAATATAATCTAAGAAATCAGTCTTCTGCATGTAGAATGAGCATTTTCAGTATTTATATAGAGTTAATACTGTCTCAAGTAACTTAACACTTCTTGAACATGAGTATTATATTCTTCTTTCATTTTTGAGAAGATTAGAATGTTATTTAAGTATATTATACAGAAGACATTAACAAGACTCTGCAGTGTCTTATTTATATAGATCTGAAAGATGACTGAAGTATTATAAAGATTAAAAGATAAAACAAGATATTTAAAATTATTATACTTAGTATAAATAGCTGTTTTTCAAATGTTATCTTTGTTAACTCTGATTCTATGATAGATATTCTGTATATCAATCTTTGAGAATATCTTTACTTCAGATAATTGATCAATCATCTCATTAATTAATAGTAATAAATAGTAATTCTTAATCATCATTTTATTAAAGTCTCTGTAGTCTATGTATAGACATAGTCTACTGTTCTTCTTAAATACAAAAAGTATGAGTATCTCTGTCAGACTCTTTAATAAGTGTATTCAGTTCTTTGATTGTACTTTCTTAAGATATTTATACAGAATATTCAATTTCTTTACTGATAAGTTATAAAGAGATCTGTACAGCACTGTTACACTATCTTTAAGACAGATCTTATATTATATCTTGATATCAGAAAACTTCACTACTTCTCTTTCTAAAAAGACATTCTTATAATCTGTAAAGAGATATTATATTTATCTGTCTTCAATAATAAATACTGCTGTCAATCTTCTAGTAAGAGTAATAACTTCTTCATCTATTCTTAAGTTCTCTGTTATATAGTATATTGACTTTATCTTTTTCTCAAGATTCTTTTAATGAAACTCTTTAAATTTCTCTATTACTGTCTCTTTATCAGTGAGATAATATCATCACATCTGAGTGACTCAGTCAATGAGAGAATTATTTTCTCTCAATCATAGAAGATCTAGAATAATATTCTCATCTATGATATTAATAATATGAAGAAGCAGACTGCTCTTCTTAAAGATTTCTTCTAAGTCAGTGATTACATACTTTACTTGAATTATGTTAAAACAGTGATATTTTATTTTATCAGTAAATTTAATATAATCTGACAGATCTATCTTCTTTCAATTCTTTATTAAAGAAAAGAAATAGAATATGAAGTTAATATCTATTCTGAAGTCAAGTAGACATCTCACTAATATCTTCTTATTCAGAGTATTCATTGTGATTGTAATATGAACTCAGAGATATAAGAATTATTAATTCTTCATTTCTTTCTCTTCTTTGTCTTCTACAGATATATTCATTAGAAGAGAAGTTAACTTTAAGAAGATATCTTCTCAGTTTCTTCTCTTCTTCAGCTTCTTATAATTACTAGTATAGTGATTATCAGCTGTACAGTTAAAGTAGAAATCTTTATCAAATCTTTTTTAATATTTCTTCACAGTGAGTGAAGAATTGAAATATTTAAAATTCTTCTTTATATTCTCTACACTGAAGCTATCATAGTACTGTTTAGATTCTGTTATTAATTACTTAGAAGAGATCTTATTAATCTTTTTCTCAGAGTATTAATTATTCAAGTAGATTCAGAAAGTCAAGTTAATAAGCTTAGTGTAATTAATTAATAAACTCTGATACTGTGATATTATTATTCACATCTTATGAGTCAGCTTCATGAGATAAAGCTGTATTTTTAATTGATTTAAATCATTAATCAATTTCTCTCAATATTCTTTAAATCTTATATTGAAATCAGAAGAATTCTCATTATCTTATTAATATAATAAGTTAAATCACTATATCACTGTAAAGCTGCCAACCGCCCCACCACGAACTCGCTCGATTTTTCGAATAAGAACCCGCCGATAGATCCATCGAAAAGCCCTCGATCATACGAGCATTTGGACCCCATCGCCGACCGCATACCCCGTGTGGTGGTGGAGATATCCAGCCAAATGTGAACTAGACGTTGTTCGAAACTCCCGTGTGGGATTATCCCCCATTCAACCCCTACCACACCACAACCCTGGGCCAAAGTGCCATACAAATTGTAAGGTGAAGAGACATAGCCATATGCGCCAATCTTCTTGATTTTGGAAGATCCCCGATCTGTAATTGTGGAGATATCTGAGAAACAACCTCCACGAAAACCCTGTCCACCTTTGATGTTCCAAAACATCAATGCCAAGTCCCACCCTCGTACTGCCCTTCCCAATCTGGCCCATCCCCGGCAGAAAAATACAAAAAGATACCTCGGCGATAATATCAAGTACATAATCAACAGACACTTCTGAAGTGCAATCTTCACAGTCTGTCGTCAGTGTATCTAGACTTCAACACTAAGTCTCACCCTTGTACTACCCCTCTCAATCTGGCCCATTCTCAACAGAATAATACAAAAAGATACCTCAGCAACAGCATTCAATACATAATCAGCAGATAACAAGTCAACAGCACATCAATAACTATAAAATCAGTATACTTCAAGATCTGACTGAGCCTTTGATCTCTGTACAGTGAGATATATTAAATCTAGTTTTAA